GATCGTATATGTCGTTATGGATGATTTATAAAATATTAGAAGCTCTTTGTGCCCCAGTGCAAGTTTTCCTTATCATTTTTCCTTGCACGCATGATTCACAAAAATTGAATAAATTCCCTTTGCAATTTTATAAAGGAAAACGTTTATATAGAGCCGAGGCTCTAAACAACCAAATTATAGCCCACCTCAAAAAATTCACTAAAAGATGTCGTTTTGATGCCCAAATATCCTCAAGTTGATCATCTCAACATCAAGATGCAGAAAGGGGGGGGAGGGGGGGGGGGCGAGGCATGCCACGTTTTGTGGCACAATCCCCCATGCCCTTGTGTTTTGGGAAGAATGGGGCATGGACATGAGAAAATAATAGATTTCAACTTTTGGAAATAGTGCATCGTGTAAGGCATTTTTGGACCATCAATTTTCAAGATTTTCAAGTTTTCATAGATCTGTTCAATCTACACTATATTTGAAGCTTTAAATTTTATAATTAAAGATGAAAACATATTTTAAGGCTATCACAAAGATTTACAGTATTGAAACCACATTTCTCGACACTATTTAAAGGCGCGCTTTACTTTGATTGTTTAGAGCCTTGGCTCTATATAAACCACACACTATTCTAAAAGGCCATCTTTTTTTAATCATTCCATTCTTTTGTAATTTATGTTTCCTAATTGCATGTGACACAAATAAGCATCATTCTCATGAGTGGGAGATGAGACATAAGCAATTTCTTCCTTCATTTCAATCAACAAATAGGCCGTCCTTGAGAAGACCGGTCATAACAGTCTCACCAAAGTTCTTATTTGTCACCTTATTAACAGAGAAGATAGTGACATACCCAGCCTTAGCCAACTTAGGGACTAAAACCAAACACTTCCTCATTTCATAAGCATAAAATGTTTGTTTTATGACCAAAGTCTTTCCATTCTTCATTACTAACACATAGTCCCCAAAGCCCAGAACTTCAATCTGTTTGTTTCCTCCCATGAAAATGTATTGCTTGCCTGGCCCCACAGGTCCGAAGTTTTGATATCCATCTTTGGTGTTTGACATATGGGCTGTAGCTCCAAAATCCAAACACCAAGATGCACCCTTGGGGTTGGCTAGCATGTTCTCAAAGATAACACAGACATATTCCCTATTACTGGCATGGTTTCTATCGAACCTACAGTTCTTAGCAATGTGACTGACCTTCTTGCACACAAAACATTGCCTCTTCTCTTTTCTAGCCTTATTATTTTCTTGGTCTCTCTATCCCCTTGTTTTTACTCATTCTCCATCGAATTTTCCTTTCCCTTTGTTTAGTTTGAAATAAGATTTAGAGTTCACCACGTGCACTGCCTCTTTGGGTGCCAGTGCATCACACATGTTCCTTTAGCAAAGACAAGCTCCTCTAGCCTAGAAGCAGTCTCTCTAGCAACAAGAGAAGCCATAAATACCTCCCATGAGGCGAGGAGAGTATTTAGAAGGTGAACCACTTGCATAAGTTCATTAGGCCACATGTCTATCGCCTCCAACTCACAAACCAAGGCTCTAATAGCATGCACGTGCGCAGCTATCTTTACTCCTTCGGGCATCTACAAGTCGTCATACTTTTTCATGGCAAGAGTCTTTCTCACAAGTAATGGATCAGCAAATTCTTTCTCGAGCCATTCATGCATGCCTTTTGCGGTCTTGATGGCAAGTACTCCGATACATATGAGTAGTGCATAGCCACGAGTAGGATATGCCTTGTAAGCATATTTTTGCGCTCCCACTGGGCATATGCATCTCTTGTACCCTGAGATGCATTCTCTCTAGGTTGAGATGGTGAAGCTTCGATGACGATAGCATAAAAACCTTCCTCATATAGCACATAATCGATTTTCTGCTTCTATGAGGCATAGTTTGTTCCGTCGAATCTCTCAGCCTTTAAAATTACAACAATAAAATTTTTTGATATGATTTCTTTGTCCCAATAGTACGAAAGTAACAAAGAAAATAAAATAATGGCGATGAAAGTGGACGATGTGAACTAGCACGGTCGATGTAGTTTAAAATTTTTCCTCTGCTATACTGGCCAGAACACTTACATATGTCCCAAGCATTACAATTGAAACCCAAATAAATGAAAGGAAAACAAAATATGGACTCTCACTTGCTACCACTTTTCAAAACCTCTTCATTACATAATCAAATTATATCAATTGAGATTGGAAACAAGAAATCATAAAAAAGCATAAAATAAGACAATGTGTCAAAAGAATACCTCCAATAGACTTTGCACACCCCACACCAGGTATCCTCCACCAATGGTGCACGAGATCCCACACCAAGTATCCTCCACCAATGGCGCACAGGATCTAGGTCTTTCTTGAATCTCAGCAAATGGGAAATTAGGTTAAACCCTTACTTAGCACTTGAGAGCATAAGGATGAACATGGGCCTCACTTTCTTTTCAATCTATGTGGGTCGTGCCCCCTCTTGCTTGTATGAAACCCTAGGGGCGTGCTCCTTTCTTTGTCTCTAAGAGAGCATGTTAGGATAGAGAGAAGAGTAGAGAGAGAGAGGGTGGCGTACCACCCATTAAGAAGAGACAGAGAGTTCAAGGCTTGGGTGTAGTGAGATGACCCTCATTGAGATTCTATCTAGACCATTTAGGTGACATGTGGGGTGAGAGATATTAGCCATACAATCTATAGATCAGCCATCATAATTTAATGGTGGTGCTAGAACCTTATCCCTCAACTTCTTTAACCTAATCCCATCAAATAATTTATCATAAGTGACCTGAGGGATTAGAGATATTAGCCATACAATCCATAAATCAGCCATCATGACCTAATGAAAGATGCTAAAACCTTATCACTCAGCTTCCTTAACCTAATCTCATCAAATATTGTGGGTAGAGAAAGTACATGATGTGTTTCCCTTATTTTCAATCAATCTCTACTCATTCCCTTTTCCAAATCAATTAACCACTTTTCACAAAACTTTCCATTTCATTCAAATCAATTTGCATGGCTTAAAGTACAAGCTACATCATATGGAAAGTGAGAAAAAGTGGGGCATGCCACTCTATGGAGGTATAGTGGGCCCCACGTCCCCCCATCAAGGTCAGCCTAAAAAAATGGGCCTTAATGTATTATGAGTTCCCATAATATAAAATAATTTATAATAAAATAAAATCATTTTTTGAAATGGCTAGTTATTTTATTTTCTTCTCTGAATATTTAGAGACCTGAAAATTCAATTTTAGCATATTTAAAAATCAATTTTGATGAAATAAAATATCCAGAGATTTCTAAAATTTATTTTTATTTTCTAAAATTCATTTAAAAAAAAATAATTTGATGGGAATCGGATCCAACTTTGCCAAGGAAAATGTGAAAACACTAAAGCACTCCATCTCTACTGGTGATTGTGTCCCACACTCACTTTCTCAAACTTACCTAGTAGTTCCCATGACCCATAGTCCATCACAGAAGTTCATGATTAGACTACCAAATCCAGTCAATAGGTGCTGCAAACACAATCCTAGTCTATGGATTACGATTCCCCCTAGGGACAAGCCTAGGTCACACAGACCTTGCACACTCATCGTAATTGGTGCATGGGACTATCTCTCGTACATGTACATGCAAGGGTTCACCAAGTCCTACCAATCACATACAAGGGTCACTACGTCCCTTGGCCAACTACCATGGGCATCTCTCCAACCTCATCAAGGGATAACCCTACAAACCCTTCTCAGTTGTGCTATATGCCCGGGTATCATAGGATTTTAGAACTCAATTCAACCTAGCTCGTCAAGCCTAGTTTGAGTCTTGGCATTAGTATTGCCAACTTTGTCCCCTCTAAACCATACTCCCACTGGAGTTCATCAAAAAATGTCATTGCATGCTCTCATAAGGCCTGTAAATAGCCATAAAAACCCAACAGTATCGACTACTTGGTTGGAAAACACCAATAACCATAGTGGGAACATCATACCAAGAAAAATTTTGGTCTTTAAGCATCAACACTTGACAAGGACATAACAATCATTTTACACCCAATACGAGTCCAGGCATTGCCTGTCCCACCAGGTTAAAACCATATAGCACCTAAATCATGACGATATGCACACCAGCGAATTCAAATTCTTCTTATAAAACATTCAAAAACAAAAGTCCTGGTAGAAAACACCGGATAATGCCAGATAACATCTAACATGGTTTTAACTCATGTGATTATTGATAGGAAAATTTCTTGTGCATATAAAGGCACTCAAAGAAGTCGAAGCTATATCATAGAACATGAAAATGCCGAAGGCAACAGAGCGAACTGCTCCATATGTTTAATACACAGCCACTAAAGGCAAGTGCAACGAGTCATACATTGAATGAAAACCATTATATATGCCAAACAGAATCCCTAATAATCTATAGGGACCTTATATCCATGTACCATATCAACAGTATGATGCAAGTCATCTCCACTGTTAAATAAACAGAACATGGCGATGATCTAATCTTCAGCTTGAGTGGAGGAAGACTTAAGCGGGAGAGCAGCTCATCTCGACCATTATCTGTTGAGTAATGAATGGATGAAATGACATGTATTATATTGTTGAAACATTTACAATTTCATAGTTTCCTAATCTAAAATATCAGGAGAAATAAAATAGAAAGGAATACAAATAAAGCATCATAGTAATGGATCTATGAATGACTTCAAGTGGGTAACAAACACTGGTTAGGTTGCAGAATAATCCAATACTCAAGGTTTGTAGTAGATATTGGTTTCTTCCTTCGTAATTATGAACAGGCAACAGTAAATTATTTATGCACCCCTTGTATCCAAGCATCTATTAATGCCAACCAATCTCCCAAATGTGAATCACCACAATTGAGTTAGCATAGTTTGCAGATATACCATAAACATATTCTACGAAACTGAAATAAGCAACAATGCCTTGGCAAAAAAAACCCAAATTATAATAATAAAAAATGCAACTCCACACCATAGCAATGTACCTTTAGATTTTGAGTGGTCAAAATAGACACTCGACTTGGGCATAACTCCAAAAAAACGACCTGGAAAAACAATTGTAGGTAACCACACAGATGATTAAATGGAAAACATGCAAGATACATCTTAATGCAGGCTGCTAACCTGCTAAATCACCCATCCATCAGTTTTATTGTTTAGTCAGTTCGAAAAGGGAAGCACCTGCGGTTTAAGGAAACGTATGATGGCTTGAACTTCACGGCACGACTCCTACAAGCAAGAACCAAGAAAATAAAGTTCAAACACACACCATACTATATGACCAAAGGATAATGTATAGAAGAAAATATTCCTTCAAGGAGATATCCTGTATTAACACATAAAAACATAAATTTGCAGGACCAGCTCGCTAACTCTAGTATGATGACATTACGAAGGCTATAATTTGTGATGAAAAGATTCAAAACAATTGTACAACATGAAATGTGGCTAAAGAGCAATTACTCTCACAATTAAATGAAAAATCAATCTCTAAACTAAAAGATCAAGACAAATCTAAAATCAAACAAGGATGGTACATAGAAATAGGATTCCCTACATAGCTCATCATCCCAATCAGTGGCATTTGAGGGCATTCAATTGGTTATTCATTCTACACATAAGGGTTGAGGCTTCACAGGATCCAAATATTTTCATCGCATCCTATGTCTCAACCTAGGTCACATGGGCATGGCATTCGTGTTATGTGTAAGTGTCAGACATCAGTAAAGAGCCTAAGATTCCCTGCTCTGTGAAGTACAAGATTCAGCAACACTGCTCTATAATTAACAACATTCAGTGAGACAAGATGGGAGAATCGGTTTTTCTTTTAAAGGTAAGTTGGAAAGAACATGGAAAGTATTTATTGTACTCTAGTGATGGTCCTCCGATGACCTATGGAAGCACGTTCCCTCTTTTTATGTTCGGCATGATCTTCTTCAAGCGTCAGGTCGCAATTTTGGAGTGCGACCGCTACCTTCGATTGGCAATCCCAGTACTTATAGTTTTTACATTCAATCAGCTTGCTTGCCATTTCATTAATTATATTTGTTTTGATTTCGCAGCAAATTTATATTTGAAAATTTCTTAAAAACCATTATGACCTATGTAGTTATGAGACTTAGAGTTGCTTATGGTCATATGTTCTGGTTTGAGAGACCATATTGTGTTTTGTAGTCCTTATGACCACTCAATTTTTTCTCCCTAATTTTACATAACATGTGAAGTTCAATACTCGGCTTTAAATGTTACTTGCACATGTTTTAATATAATTATGCATTTTACATATGACATCTTACTTATACCATGTGTTGGTGACACATGGATGACGTTGTTATCATCATCCATCCTCTAGAAGCCCATTGTCCCTCTTTCTTAAAAGCTTCATTATAAATAACACATTCTCTCCTAAAAATCCATATCCTTCTCTCCTCATACCGTTTAACTAATGCTTAACATCACTATGTTCAACATGACAGATGGCTAAGGGTGATTGTGACCTCGTTGTATAAAAGCAAATGATTTTATAGTATAAATCTCTCATTTTATTTAATTTTCATTTCAAAACAAATTTATATTTGAAAATTTATTGAGGACCGTTGTGACCTATATAGTTAGGCAACCACAATTATTAGTGATCATATATTTTTATTTGAGGGATCCTACCGTCTTTTGCAATCCTTATGCTCCACTCAATCTTTTCTCTTTAATTTACAAGACACGTGAAATTCAATACTTGGCTTTAAAAGTAATTGAGACATTTTAACGTGTATGCATTTTACACATGACATCTTAATTGTATCATGTGTTGGTGACATATAGATGATGATGTATTACGAACTTCTATCCCTTTAAAATCTCATTGCCCCTCTTTTTTAAAAGCAACTTTTTGTTGAACACACTCTCTCTAATAAAAACTCATATCCTCCTAATCTTCTCATAACCTCCAAAACTCTTTATCGTTAACATGATGAATACCAAAGGTTATCATATGTTGATAAACCACATGAAATATGGATGTTGAAGCTTACATTGATTTTGGTTTTAGCTTAGTTTTATCAAGAAGCAGGGATAGAATTATTAATGCAGGAAGTTTTTTTATATTTAAGTTTTATAGTGCTAGGTGAATTTTGCATTTGTAGCTACATAATCATTTCTCACAATCGATGCTTGTAGTTTTATTGCCACTTTGAGAACATATTAATATATGTTGTAGTTTTAAATGAGTTATTGGAATTTCAACTTAATAACTCAAGAAGTGTATGTATCCTGAGACTGTACTTGCAAGGACCGATTGCATCTCGGAATCTTACAAGAGTCAAGGGCGTTTAGCACTTTGATGATAGTGGGACCATATCATGCCTCAAGGTCCCTTGTAATTTGGAACATTTAATTTATGAACCTCTATCACTTTGGAATTAGGAGTATTCTTATAAACTCTGAACCCAGACAAATCCTCAAACCCCATTTGGATCCTTAGAAAAAATGTATGGAAAAAACTATTTTATGTGAAATACATTTCTTGTGAAAACATTTCCTACAAAATGGATATTTTGTTGTTTGAATAGTATCTAGATGCAGCCTAAAAGATACATTTCAAGTATGGAAAGGAGTTGAATGCAATGAATCTCTAGAAAGGAAAATATGGTAGATGTAGAGTTACTAGGATGCACTCTCAACCACTTGTCTAAAGCCACTACAATATATACCGATTTGTTCTCCAATCGGCAGTAAAATTATGAGCTTCGATTTTGAAAAACCATTCCGAAACTAGATCATATATCTCTTATAGATGCATGCGCAACCCGAAACATGCAATTCATCTAGCAATGTAGAACTTAATCACAAAATACTTACTGCAAAATTAACAATAGCTTTGTCTCTTTATAAAATAGAGCGTTGAAAACCAAAATCAATGTATGCTTCAACCCCATATTTCATGTGGGTCACCAACATATCATAACCTTTGGCATCATCATCTTACACATTTATTAAAGGTTATGAGGAGAGAAGGATATGAGTTTTCATCAAAGAGAGAGAGTGTATGTGTGTTCTTCGAAAAGAAGCTTTTAAGAAAGAGGGATGATGGGCTTATCAAGGAATGGATGATGGTACCACATCATCATCCAGGTGTCACCAACACATGATATAAGTAAGATATCATGTATAAAATACATACATGTATTAAAATATGTTAGTAGAATTTCAAGCCAAGTATTGAAGTTCACACATCATGCAAATAATGGAGAAAAACTGTGCAGACGTAAGGACAATAAAAGATGGTATGGTCCCTCAAACAAAAACATAAGACCACAATTAACTATAGTCTCATAACTATATAAGGTCAAATGGTCCTCAAGAAATTTCAAATACAAATTAGTTTCGAAATAAAATTTTTATAAAATTAACAATAGAACATCAGTTAAGGTTTGCAAATCCCTAATGTGGGTATGATATATACATAAGAGGTGACCATATTCTTATTCAGTAATGGTTTACAAGGGTTATTTGGTCCATGTTGGATCCGTTTGGATTGTTGTGAGTGACTTAGATATCAAGATTAGCTATGCTCAATGACAAGGCCCACATGCTATGGAGAGTGTGTACAATGGCAATCCAATGGGGTAAATGGAAAATAATAAAAGAAATCTTTAAAAGCGACAGTATCAGAGGGGAGATTTTGCAATAGAAAATTCAATAATAAGTGATTGTTTGGGTAGTATCAAGACCGGAGTTCAAATGTTTCATGTAGTGAAACTTGAGAAGGATTAGAAGACAATAGCTTTCCCAATTATCTCTATTAGCAGGCCAACCCCCTAGTTGTCTGCCCCATCGAGGGAGTTTTTGAAGTTGAGCTTCAATGGGAGTTTGTGGGAAAATTTGGGCCAGAGGGGTTTGCGGTCAGTTTAAGGGACACAGAAGGAAATACCATCCTATCCTTCTAAGGATAGACTGCTCATTCGCAGAGGCAAGAGTATTATTTAAGGCCTGAGATCAAGCGATTAGCCGATTAGGAGGTGGTGGCTCCTATTATTGTTAAAGGAGAAAGCATTAATGGTATCAGATGGGCTAATAGGAAATCTAACCTCCACCCTACCCCCTTTTCTCCCTCCTTGGCGCCTTTGATCTTTGATGAGATGACAGACATTGGAGCTTCCAGGCCACTTTCATTTCAACATGCAAAAAAAGGAAGGTTAATGCAAAGGAAAACACACTAGCTAATGGCAGTATGGCAGGCAATATTTTATGGATTGACCTAATTTTGTGGGTCATTCAAATGCTATCCCAATATCCCTTTGATACCATGATGTGCGGTTCTACTCGTTTATTATCAACAAGTTTAAGACACATGTCAAAAAAAGAAAAGAAAAGAAAAGGGTATCAATGTTTAGGATACATGATCATCTACCCCTTTCTAATAGGGCCCACAATAGGCCGAGCCAACCTTGGCCTTAGCCCAACCCTGGCCTTAGCCCAACCCTAATCCCTATAGCCCCAGCCCGGCTAGCCCAGACCAGGCCAAAGAAGCTCTGGCCCATGCCTGGCCCTAGCCAAGCCAAGCAAGGGAAGGTCAAATTCAATCCAAGAAAAAAAAAGGAAGAAAAAAAGGGTGGTGTAGGCCGAACCGGGCCGACCCTAGACTAGCCCTCAGGCCACATCTTGTGGCTTAGAGTGGCCCAGGCCCTAGGTTTTTAGGGCAGGGTCGACCAGACCGGGCCGTACCAAACCACCTAGCCCATTGTCAGGCCTACTTTCTGACTTCTTCCAGAAGCTGAAATCAAAGTTCTGTCAGAATTTAAACAAATCACAATAAATCCATACAGTTCCATGCAATTAAATCACTATAAGAGTTGCTTCCTCAAAGAGGATGAGGGAGAGTTTGATTGATCACTTTATAGAGATACACTACAAGGCTAATACAGCACCTACCAAACAGCAATCAGAATAAGAACAAAAACAAAGTACCAATGTAGCTCATAGGAGTAACAAAAATTTGGACAACAGAACTTCTCACAGGACAGGATACGGGTTATAAATGGGGATTGCGCTTTGCAAGGAAAACAAGGAAGCATAAAAAAACTAATGTAGCAGAGAAGAGTCATGAGTTCAAAGTTTTTCTATTACTTTCAATGATCAGATTCAAGACAATAGAAAAAACAAAATGAACAGCTCACATATATCTCATTGCAGTCCACAGAGAAATTTCAATTCATAGATACAACATCATGAATTGCTTTTTGTAAAGCATTACAACCACCAGACAGAAAATTTTGAGGAATTAGAAATTCAGACGTTGTGTTAGAGAGAAAGAGAAAGAATGCAGCTTGAAACCGATAATAACACGCACAATAGCAGTTATCAAAGGAAAACAAGAGAAAAAGAACAGCAAGAAAGAAACAAGAAACTTGGAAAACTAGAAGTTCACATGAGAAAAACGTTCACCACACTCTAAAGAAAATAGCCACTCAAAAATACATGCAACTTATTTTAATGATTAATTATAGAAAGAGTTCCCGTAATAATATATAATCAGAATTACAACATACAAGCTGGATTCTCGATTTTGAGACAGAAATCTCAGAAAATTAATCACAAGACACAAAATCAGGAAAAAGAAAAATCAGTAGGTATAAATGGAAAGAACGAGCGAGAATGACAGACAGATAAGAGAGAAGAGCAAGAGGGATAGAAGTGAACCTGAGATACATGAGCAGTCCCAACCAAGTAGACATCGCAGGTACCACCAGGCACTGAAGACTCACAATTGAGAAGCACCACACCTTTTGCAAGATCTTCTGGGAGCTCCATCTTCTCATACGTTTGCCAACCGTCATGTAATTCAGCATCATTTCCTCCATTAGAGGACTCATGGAGACCTAGGGTTCCCCGAAAACGTGGAGGATCGCTCTCTTCCTCCATGTCTGGTTCGATATCTTCTCCTTTGTTGGCTTCTTCCACATCGATCTCCATGGATTTTCCGGAGAGAGCGGTGGTGGCGTGAGATTCATGCGAGAGTTTTGTATCTAAAACCTCCGCATTTGGCGAAACGCCATCCGTCATGGTCAGAGTAAACGTGCAAAATTTTGATGCCTCCCTCTCTCTCCTCTTTCTCTCTCTATTCTGATGCCCTCTCTCTCTATATCGAGAAATGGAGTGCGATGCAATGTTCTGGCGTGGAAGCAAAGGCCAACAAGGTTTTCTTGATGCAGCTGCGAGCAAGGCTTTCTTCATCCAATTCCCTCTCTCTCCAGGCTTTCTTCATGCAATCCCCACTCTCTCTCTCTCTCCTTGTCTAATCCCCTTCCAAATTTCTCACTCTTCCTATAAAACTGTCATCTGTCACTTAGGCCCCGTTTCGGACCGTGGCTTGCAAAAGCAGGTAGGTCGTTTTTTTAGGAAGAAGTTTATGTAGAGCCGACGGTCTAAACATTCAAATTAGAGCCTACCTCAAAAATATCACTTAAAAGAGGTTGTTTTGATGCTCAAATAGCTTCAAATTGATCATCTCAATATTAAGATACATGGATATGAGAAAAAATTAGATTTCAAGTTTTGAAAATAGTGTATCTTTTAGTGTACTTTTGGATCGTCAATATTCAAGATTTTCAAGTTTTCATAGAGATGCTCCATATACACTACATTTCTCCATACTATGTGAACGTGCACTTTATTTTGATTGTTTAGAGCATCAGCTCCATACAAACCATACCTTTTTTTATGCTTTTTTTTTATACCCTACTAGTTGGTTTATGTGCATTGTAAGTACAATGGAAATATCATTCAAGTAAATGATCATATATATTTTGTATTTTTTTTTTTTGAAAGTTATATAAGAAAATAGCATAGCATTGAAGAAATACCCAAAGGAAATAGTAATTTCACTCATAAAATATTAAGTAGATGTTGACATATAAATGAATTCAAATAATAGCAAATATATTGAATTTAAATAGCAATTTCATGAATGAAATATTAAGTAGCTGTTGGCATATAAATTAGATCCAGTAAAAGAAAATGCAATGAATTATATGTCAATGTCTTCATGCAGCTTCAATCTTCTTTTAACATTTGGTTATTATGAAATATTAAACATGTTTGTCACCACGCATTTCACCGTTGTGTGATTTCAAAAAGTATTTAGCATTGCCCACACTTTGAAAATGTGCTTTGTGTGCAGGATCTTTTGTATTTCGTGTTGAACATGATCTACAATATTTGCTTGCAACAATTGATGAATTTTATATGTAAGCATTATAGAATAATCTATTTTGTGATGGAAAATAAAACTAAAAATTAGATACATTTGATGCAATTAACAATAAAGTGGATATACCTATTGTCAAAGGCTATGAAGTTGTTCTATTGTTGTAACCAAGAGATGTTCTACTTTTTTACCAAAGATTGTTACTTTCAACTCAGATATGTCATTTATTAAACTACATTTGAAACAATACGTATAAATTTTTTATGTTATCTGAGTTTTTGTGTTTTATATATAATAAAATGAAATTTAATTTTGGTTTAAGGATATCTTACATGAAGCCTGTTTTGACATTATCTGATAAGCACTTTGAGTAATGATGTCTTGTCTCGACAATTTGAGATGTTTTTGTTAAGCATTGCAAGCATCCCCTATACCATACCTCGTCGTCAACATGGAGTGTTGTCATTTTCACTTGTGAAAATATGTATTTGACCTACATAAATTTGGATAATGTGTTGTTACTCTTTATTAGTATATGATAGATTAATTTTTTTTAGCTCATACTTTTTGTAGTTCGGCATCGGCAATATCTATATTGGTTTTTTTTTTTTATCATATTGACGAGGATTCCCTTTCTCTTTTTTATGAGGATGGCAGCATTATAATTGTAATATTCCACAATTTTAAACCTAGATTATATGAATTTATATGTTTAGTTATTTGTATGAAAAATAATAAAAGACAAAATTACAATTGCTTAAATTGAAGAAAAGTTTTATCGTTGAATTCCAATATAATCTTGATTATCCGTGTTGTTGAGATTGATGTACCGGTACAAAATGGAAGACTTTTAGTT